CGTTATTTTCATAGGAAGAAAGAGAAGTTCATTTGATTCCTGCTTTGGTAATGGATTTGCATTTGGTTTAAGTATTATTTTAGTCCCTTAACTTTCTACTTTAACATTAAAATTATCTTTTAACTTTAAAAAATATCAAAATTATTCTTAAATTTTTATTTTTGATACTAAAACAATCTTTTCGTCCATTAGATGACATGTTATAGGTTAACTTACCAGTAAATCAATTTTTTTTTTTTGTAACTAATGACATGGCACTTTTTTTTTTATGAGTTCGACATTTTATTTAATTTAAAAATAATGATTTTTTATTTCACTCACGTCATCTCTTCTTCCTTTTTTACTTTCTCTCTCCTTTACTTCACCTTTTCCCTCACCTCTGCAAACCCAGATTTGGGTTTCATCACATAAATTAACGATCTGAAGAAGTTAGTGATGATAAGAAAATGAAGATCGACCACGCGCTTGGGACTGTCAAGTCCAATGGCATCCAGAAAATTCTTGCTCTCCGTGGATACCCAAGGTTTGTTCAATATATGAGATTTTTTCACTTCTTGAGTGAGTTTTGATTTTGGGTGCTTACCTTGCTTCTTTTCTTGATTTGCAGGGTTTGCGTCTGTTTGGTTCACCTCAATCAACGCTGTGTGCGATGGGGAGTGGTTGTGGGTATAGGCAGTGGTTTATCCGTGGTAGCCCTAAGTGTCAATGGTGACTCCCCTTGCCGCCAAGAACTTGGGATTTGCTGTATGCGACTGCGGGGAAAGTTGCTAGGTAATTACTAATGCTTTTCATCTTCTGTTAAATCTGATCAGCGTTCCTTTCAAATTCGAAATCGGCATCTCACTTCTTCGCTTGTACCAACAACACCAAGCCATGGCTATGGTTCTGGACTCCGAAACCGACCTGTCGTTTCCCTACTGGATCTCCGTTCGCCACGTTTTGGTCCCGCCTCTTCTTTCTTTGCTACCGGCAACCTTGAGAGAGAACTTCTCGCCAAACAGGTTTTTTTCTTTTTAATTTTCTTTTCAATTAATTTTAGATGATGTCGACTTTGACTTGATTTAATTTCCCTACGAATAATTTGTTTTTGGATCTTGAATTTTTCTTGGTTTAGATGCAATGAAATGGTTATTGTGATATAATTTTTATCAGTTTGAAATGATGAATTTTAGTAATTACTGTAGTATGAATATTCTAGAGCCTTTTCTCATATTCCCTCCCTTGTCTCATGTAATGTGCAGGTTGTCTCATGGAATTAGATGATTTTCTCAAACCTAGACCTGGGTTTTTTTCTCAAATCCAGATCTGGCGATGAAGAAGAAGACACGAGCTCTAGTACAAGATTCAAAGTTTGCAGAGCAGAATCTGAGCAAAGTAGAGATCTTTTTTTTCTTTTTTCTTTTTTTTTCTAATTTGGATGGAAAAATCTTTAATTATGGAATTGATAAGCAAGAAGTTACAAAATCTAAGGAAAATTGAAGTTTTCAATATAAAAATTTTGGGTTTTTTACAGATTTGAGGAAGGAGAATGATTGTTGCAGAGGGGAAGGTTTGAGGTAGACAGAGGTAAGATTTTGTCAAATTGGTTCACAATTTTTTTTACAGATCCAAGGAAAATTGAAGCTTTCAACATAAAATTTTTGTTTTTTTTTATAGAGATTAAGCCATGGAAATCTAGGTTTACCATTGCTTTTTTTTTTTTTTTTGAGCTGCTAGATTTTTCGAAGTTGCTGGTTTGCTTGGAGCTTGGAGGAGATGCAGGAGAAAGAGAAGAAAGAAAGGTTGGAGGATGAGGATGAGGGCATTTAAGTAATTTTAATTTTTTAATGTATTAACTGATTAAAAAAATATGAGTTTTTCTTGTTGGATTCACACGTCATTAACATTTAAAAAATTAAGTGATTTTGTGACAATTTAATGTGCTGTCTGTCCATTAACTGAAGGAAGGATTATTTTGGTATTGAAAATAAAAATTTAAGGATAATTTTGATATTTTTTAAAGTTTAGAGATAATTTTGATACCAAAGTAAAAA